TTTGTGTATTACATACAAATATATTATATATTAACGTATAGTGTGTATTATATACAAATATATTCTATATTAATATATATTGTATATTATATAAATGGCGGGGATGTTCACAATCGAATCGAATGGAATTGAAAACAAAAATCGTATTTCAAAAAATTCATTTCTTATCAATTAAAATACTGCATTTCGTTCTCATTAATCTATCCCACCAGCAACTCAAATATACGTCCTAGTAACATAAAAAAATAATATAATGCATAAATAAAATAAATAAAATACATAAAGCAAGGCTTAAATATATAATTTTAACTATTATATGATTTTTAACTCTTCCGCTTTTTGCATAGAAAAGCCGACCACTGCGAGAACGCCCGCCATTCGTCAGCGTCTTAGCCGCAACTTCGTGCCGTGAAGAGCCGCCCAGCAACGTCGAAGATCTTCGTCTTGGTAGTCCGGGTCGTGGCGAGACTTCGACTTCACCGCGGCTTGACGGGGAAAAAGTGAATTCGATTTGCAAAAACGAAATCTGGCTGGAAACATCTAGCACGGACGACGCGGCGCGGCGCGGAGAACGCGCTGTCGTCTGGTTTCGGCGACGAGAACGAGGGCATCGCATCGGCGCTCCCGATCTCTCCGGGGCCAAGAAGCGGGACCGAAAATTCGTTTCGCGGTTACCGATGGACAAGATTTGTTTGAATTCTGTCCGGAATCCCCAATCGTTCTTCGCGGCGGAAGGGACAGGCCGGCCCTTCGTCGAAATTGGATGCAGGATTTGAGGATCCGGGGACATTGGTGCAGCGCGAGGCGGGAATCCGAATAAGAGACGAGCGAAAAATAGGGGCCACGGTCAACCGCGATCAGTATAATAAGCGAGCGCTGCTTTCTCTCTCTCTCTCTCTCGTTCTCACTCTTGGAGACCCTTTTTTCCATTTGCTTCGGCAGGCGAAGGTCCGCCCGGATTCGTATACATACAGGGTGTCCCAAAAATGTCTCGCAATCCGAAAGTGGCGGGTTCCTCGGGTAATTTGAAGCAACTTTTTCCTTTACAAAAATTTTCTCCGAGGCACCGTTAACGAGTTATTAACGAAAAACAGTGACCAATGAGAGGCGAGCTCGGCTGGCGCGAGGCGACCGAGCCAATGAGCGGAACTGGGCTTCGCGCGCTGGTTGGCTGGGCCGCTTCGCGTCAGCCGTACTCGATTCTTATTGGTCACTGTTTTTCGTTAATAACTCGTTAGCGGTGCCTCGGAGAACATTTTTGTAAAGGAAGAAGCTGCTNTCTTCGCGGCGGAAGGGACAGGCCGGCCCTTCGTCGAAATTGGATGCAGGATTTGAGGATCCGGGGACATTGGTGCAGCGCGAGGCGGGAATCCGAATAAGAGACGAGCGAAAAATAGGGGCCACGGTCAACCGCGATCAGTATAATAAGCGAGCGCTGCTTTCTCTCTCTCTCTCTCTCGTTCTCACTCTTGGAGACCCTTTTTTCCATTTGCTTCGGCAGGCGAAGGTCCGCCCGGATTCGTATACATACAGGGTGTCCCAAAAATGTCTCGCAATCCGAAAGTGGCGGGTTCCTCGGGTAATTTGAAGCAACTTTTTCCTTTACAAAAATTTTCTCCGAGGCACCGTTAACGAGTTATTAACGAAAAACAGTGACCAATGAGAGGCGAGCTCGGCTGGCGCGAGGCGACCGAGCCAATGAGCGGAACTGGGCTTCGCGCGCTGGTTGGCTGGGCCGCTTCGCGTCAGCCGTACTCGATTCTTATTGGTCACTGTTTTTCGTTAATAACTCGTTAGCGGTGCCTCGGAGAACATTTTTGTAAAGGAAGAAGCTGCTTCAAATGATCCGAGGAACCCGCCATTTTCGGATTGCGAGACATTTTTAGGACACCCTGTAGACACGAGGGCGAGCCGCCGACTTCTCCGGTTTTCACGATTTTCCGCAAATCTCGAGGATATTGCTATTTAGGTGACACGATGATTATCCTACACGGCGAAATATTCTGATCACGGAGCCACCGTAACGAGGACTTTCGTGTATTCCCGGTCGGAGAAGAGAAATCGAGAGCTTCGATATCCCGGGCTTAAGACTCCGCCATTTTCGGAGACGATGCTCCGACGACGTTCGCTCTTTTCGATAGCAGACGATCGTGAATAGGCTACGGATTTTTACGATTTAAACGATCTTCGACTTTTTATCATCGTTAGCGGAAGAGATATACTTTTATTTCAATTTTCGTTCGGTAATTGAGGTGGAATATTTTTAATTTGCGCAAAGATTCGCAGTCGCGTGTTTTAGTTTCGAAGATATTATACGTTCTCCTTTCGCTCGGAGAGTTTTACGTTGTATTGTTATTTGGGAACAGGTATTTGAGAGTTGTTTAACCCTTTGCACTCGAGGACGAATCGACGCAACGTTTAAAATAGTTCTTCTGATCCATGGTTTTTCCATTTTATATGTTTATTATATATTTAAATTGGATATTGTGAATCGTGCAATAGTTGTGTTTTCAACAGATCTTTAAATATAAACAAATTTCATTAATAGGATTATTTTGAGACGCGACGTAACAATTTTTAATGGCGTCTCGGGGCCGCTACTCGAGCGCGAAGCGTTTAAGTTTTTTTGATTTGTCACGACAGGCTCTTATTTGGAAGATCGTTGCCAATTTTTCGGAAATTACAATCTTAAGGTATATGTTCGTTTAAACAGTAATTACAGTAAGTAATTACTTACTTAAAGAAGTATGAATTAAATTAAAGACATCCTTTACGAGAAAGAAATATATAGTATATATATTCTATATATTATATATTATTATTATTATATATACTATATAGATATTTCTATAGATATTACTNCTATATAGATATTTATATAGATATTACTATATATAGTATATATTCTATATACTATAATATATATTCTCTCTCTCTCTCTCTCTCTCTCTATATATATATATATATATATATATATATATATATATATATTAATTTACACTTATATAATATATATTATATAGAAATATTATATATTAAATATTAATATTATATATTATTACATAGAAATATATAATATTCGCGCTTATAATTGGAACAAAAATGATGTAGAACGCTCACCTTCTCCTTCTCGGTCGGATCATCCTCGATCTGTAAAAATAGAAAAAGATGGATATTTAGCAACAAGTTGTTTACTCAAATCAGTATTGAACGATTGATTGATTATAGATTTACTATTTATCTGTACGATGGGAATATTGTAACTTTGATATATTTTTTTCTGCTTTGAAACACTGTTTTCTATCGTGACTGGACAGATATCTTTCAATACTGTGTACTAATAGTGTCTTGCCCCCGTATAATGAATAAATCAAATACAATTAAATTAATTGTTAGTTTTCATTCTATTGAACCTAGTAAAATATCAGAGTTTAATGAAGCTTCGCTGAAATTTCTGCAGCGACCGAATTCGGTCTCCGGCGTCGGACAATGGCCGGACGAACGTAAAACTGTGCCAAAGAACAAATACAATTAAATTAATCGTTACTTTTCAGTCTACAGAACCCAATAAAACAGCAGAGTTTAAAAAATTTCTTACAAGAATTTACTAAATCGTACACGATAGAATTCAACGAACGCGTCGACTGAAATTTCTGTAGCGACCGAATTCGGTCTCCGGCGTCGGACAATGGCCGAACGAACGTAAAACTGTGCCAAAGAACAAATACAATTAAATTAATCGTTATTTTTCAGTCTGGAAATCATCTGTCCGAGTTCGGAGACCAAATTCGGTCGCTGCAGAAATTTCAGTCAACGCGTTCGTTGAATTCTAATATGTACGACTTATTAAATTCTATTGGGTTGACAACTAAGTAATTGCCGATTTCAGTTATAGATGTCTCTCACTCCCATTTTTATGATATCCGCGAATGTTATATTATAAAATTATTATTATTATTATTATTATTATGTTATATTTTATTATCCGTGAATGTTGGCAACTGGACAAATTGAATGCAGCGGTCAAGGAAAGCGACCAGAATTGGTCAATCGTAAAGGTGTCATTTTCCACCAGGACAATGCTGGGCCGCACACGTCTTTGTCCACTCGGCAAAAATTGATGGACATTGGTTGGGAATTGATGTTAC